CTCAATTCATAATTGCCAAGTCTTGGAAGAAGCCCAAGTGCCCACTGACCCATGAATGGATCAATAAATTCTGGTATTGTATACCATGGAATACTATGCAGCATTAAAAAAAAGATGGAAACTTTACCTCTCTTATGTTTACATGGATGGAATTGGAAAATGTTGTTCTTAGTAAAGTGTCTCAGGAATGGAAAAAAAAAATATCCAAGGTACTCAGTACTATACAAAACCAATTTATAATCACTCACACTTTCATATGAGAGATGAATCACAACCATAGCCCAGGATGAAGGAGGAAGGGGAGGGGGGTGGGAAGGGAGGGGGATGATTCAATAGAGGGAGGGTTAATGGTGGGACCACACCTATGGAGCATATTGCAAGGGTACAAGTGAAATTTATCAGTATTAAACACAAATATCTTAACACTGTGATTAAGTAAATGAGGTGAAAGCTATGTTAATTAGTTGGATGTAAACACTCCAATTTCTACTAATAATTAACACTTTGAATCCCACAAAGGCATAAATGTATTCATGATCTATGAATATATGACTTAATAAAAAAAAGAAAAGAAAAACCAAGGGATAGAAAATGTAGATAACATGTCCAGAGTCACACATCTGTTAATCTAAGAGTCAAGATTAGTATTCAACTATCCTAAGGTTCAGTATCATCCTCCTCCCACTTCCAGGACCCTTCTCTGATGCAGCAGTTATTCATCTTAGTAAAGATACTTAAGAACTGAGAGAAATTAGGCATGAACCACAAGAGAACAATAGAAACATCTTCAAACAGGGTTCCTGAAAGGCAAAGTAACAGTCAATTCCATTATTGGAATATAATGAAGTAATCTTTTAAATTAATAAGGTATTGAGTCTGTTAATACACAGAAAATCAGCAACAGTATGTACCAGATTTTACAGTTTATATTTTTTAAAGAAAGATTTTGAACTTTTCTTGTATATATTTGCTCTGTAAGAATCTAAAACAAAAACCTGATTCAAAGGATAAATGTACAAAAGTAATGAGAACTACTTATTTCATCCTTTGCAAATTTTAAAGAGGGTGCCAAAAAACTACATACACATTTTAAGAAAGGAAAAATCTATATTAAAATTGTAATAATCAATACATACTGATAATGATTTTTATCTTGTATACTGTATATCTCCTGTAATTGCAGAAATTGAATGTAACTTGAATGTTACAATTTTATACAGATCACTGCATCACAGAGGTATCGTGTCCCCTCACCTGTCGGGCATAATGCTCTATTTCCTTTGTTCTGGTCTGATACCAGTCCATAACCTTCTCAACGGTAAGCTGGGTTGTCCTGAACTTTAGTAACTCAGGCTGTGCTGCATACAAGAATTCGCTTTCATCTTGAAGACTTGGCTCAACAACCATTCTGTAAAGCACAAAAAGAACAATTAACTAGAACACTGGAAATAATTATAATTTTGTGAGAGATAGGAACAGAGAAGGCAAGAGTAGGTTACAGGGATAGGGAACATGCATGTATGAGGGCATGTGTGTGTTTGTGTATTTTCCCACATGTGTGTACACCCTTACAAAATAAATGCAACATACTTAGGATGATTAAATTATTTTCCCATTGGTTTTCCCAATTTAAAAAAACAGAATGGATAATAAATTGAAACAACTATGCAAAAAATCAATCAAATAAGTATTAAACAAATCACCCTGGGAAGCTTTACAAAATATACACAGCTGGGTGTCTAGCACAGGCTTACTAAATCAAAATAATCTGTGCTGGTCAGCCAGGCCTCCTTTATAAAAATACCTCCAAGTGATTCCACTTTGAATTAAGGAACTTTGTTTTAAATGTTCTGAAACACAGGTGCCCAGGGTAGTGGCTCATGCCTGTAATCCTAACACTCTGGGTGGCCCAGGTGGGAGTATAGGTTCAGCTGAGGAGTTCAAGACCAGCTTGAGCAAAATCGAAACCCTGTCACTAAAAAAAAAAAAAAGAAGGAAAAAGAAAATTTAACCAGGCTGGTGACACATGCCTGTAGTCCCTGATGAGGCAGAAGGACCACTTAGGCCCAGGAGTTTGAGGTTGCCATGAGCTGTGATGATGCCACTGCACTCTAGCCTGGGCAACAAAGCAAGAGTCTGTCTAAAAAAAATAGGAAGAATTGCACCTTATTTATGTTGTTAACATGCCTCTATTAGGTGCCAGCAAAATGGTTCTGTACTGACATTTGAACAGCCCAAGACTACTCTATACATTTCCCATCAGTTGTGAAAAAGAAACATCTTAGAAGAATGTACACAGGATGACACCATGGAGATAGCAAATCATGTGGAGTGTTTACAAGGATGATCGCGGCCAGCTGCCTTCCATGGTTAAGGACTAAAAATTTAGCAGAAATTAACTTAAACTAAGAAATCTCAAATGAACATATGGAAAGATGCTATGTCCCCTTAAGGGGACATAGCATTCTAGATGAATGAATGAATGAATGAATCATTCATCTAGAGGAATCATTCATCTAGAGGAAGAATTTAGTTGCAAGAATTGTCCCCATCACTGCCAATGAGCCACATCACTCCTTTCACATCTGCCCCATTTCAACAGGGAAACATGGTCACCAACAACTTTGAGTTCCACTGGTACTTTCCTCAGTCCTTATCTATGTCCCCCTCAACACCGTTTGATAGAGCTAAACACTTCTCCACTTAGAAACACATTTCCCTTTCACCTCGCACTCGAGTCTGTGCAGATCTCTCTGGCTGCTCCTTTTCAGTCACCATTGCTGGAGCATCCTCCCCTAGCCAACCTTTAAATGGCAGCATGCCGCACGCTGGGCCTGGCTCTCTTTTCTTCTCATGTTACACCTCTCTCCAAGCTTCCCCTTCACCTCCAATATGAATTACCATACATTACAACAGCTACCATATTTTTACTACTAACAAGACTTCACTTAGAAGCTCCAAAATCTTCCTGGTTAAATGTTTCACTGGCCCTTCAAATGCAGTTAAGTTCAGTCTACGCTATTTCTCCAGAAGAAAATTCTCCAAACTCCTTCTTGGGGAATATGTCTTGGGGAACTTCTTAGGGTAGGTAAAGAGAACCAGAGTTTTAGCACTCAGGACACAAGTTTTCAAAATACCCAAAGCCATCATTTTACTCCCTCTTCTGCTGTAATCTAATATCCAGCAATATGGAGACTTTTTACCTCAATTTAGAGGCCCATTGGCTCAATGCATTTAGTCAAAAAAATAAACTTCCAGTCTCATGTAGGAAAAATATCAAAGGAGAGACACAGGAGTGCCCTACCTGACTTTGAGGAGTGGGGCATAAAGAGACTCAAACATTCCTCCTGTGGACGTTCAGTCCCACACTGCATTTCCCACTCCCTTCTCAGGACATGATGCCTCCATATTCAGAGGCTAGCTAACCAAAGTTAAATCTTATAAAAACGTATATTAAAAGTAACCCAGAACAAAACTGCATGCATGCCATAATTACAACTGTGAAAAATACATCCCTAGGTGAAAGACTAAAAGGGGATACCTCAAAATAAAAAGGTTTGTAATAAAAATAACTGTTAATATTTGTCATTAAAATTATTTAATGTAACCAAGTCAAAAGCCTTTTTTAAAACTTCTCTCAAACTCTCAAAATCACAGAGTATCACTGAGTAAGAGATCACAGGCCACTTTCACAGGGCCATCTACTCACCCAACCCACCAAGAAATGAGGCACCTCGTCTGGTTCACACTGACCTGCATTCCAACTCTTCACACCAATCTTTAGCTCGGTGTTTACGTTCGTGCCAAGGAACAATCATCAGGGAGTCACCATTAGAACTTAAATTAAAAATAAAACACATAAACATTTTAAATCCATATTACCTCAATGACTAGCTGTGCAAGGAATATGATGCAAAAAGTATCACTGTAACCTTAACCTCTGAAGTCATGTTTATAGTATGTTTAGTGGCATATGATACATACTGTCTATAATATGCAAATGGGTAATAACACATTGCTGATTTCCATTTAATCATAAAATTCATTTTTAAAAAAGAATATTCACAAACACAAACACTGGCAAGGAATTAAAGGATGGTATGTGTAAGTATTCATTCACATATTCTAAAACACTCATAAAAAGCCTATAATATATGTTCTTAAATACCAACATAAATTGTTCCCTGCCTCAAAAGCTTATAATCTAGAAAGATTCCAAATCTGTGCTAGCCAACCATTAGTTACATGTCCATGTATTAAGCACCTGAACAACGGCTACTGACACTAAGCGAACAAATTTCCATCTTAATTTAATTTTACTTAATTTTCATTTAAATAGCCTCATGTGGCTAATGGCTACCATACCAGATAACACACCTAGAGGACCGGCAAAAGTAAGAGTGGAAAAATAACTTTGCAGATTGAAAGTTTCACTAAAAAAAGAAGAAAGAAAATCTCCAAGAGACAAAGACAAGGCCTGATTCCATGGAAAATTAAAAAGTAAAAGCAAGGTAAACACAGTATAGTAACACAGTAGAATAATGTGCTAAGAATGAGGAGACATAAGGAACAGAAACAAATCTGACTGTTCACTCCCTATGCTGGCTTCAGAGG